GAGGAGAGGAGAGGAGAGGAGAAGAGAAGAGAAGAGAAGAGAAGAGAAGAGAAGAGAAGAGAAGAGAAGAGAAGAGAAGAGAAGAGAAGAGAAGAGAAATGAAACTTCTGTTAGAGCAGTAGCCTGCCTAGACCTGTCTAAGCCTTAGCCTCCATTGCTAGGAGCCTAATGTCCCATAAATATTCATTCCCACATCCTTGCAGCTGAAAACCTGGAAGAGTCATGGTCCACAGAACCAGATTTATAACCATTTTCTCAGTGCAATGTGCTATCCCAGCAGAGTCTGGAATCAGAGATGGGCAGGTTTAGTGGGGGCAATGAATCCCACCAGCAATGAGCCAGTCAACGGAGGTTCAGAGTTTGAAACTTGAAGAACAAGAACAAATTAGAAATAGCAAGAACTTCCTATGATGTGGACTGCAAATCCCTCATCCATCATTATATCAAAAGCACCTGGCACAGCATTTGAAATAAATGGACACTCAGATATTTATTGATTCAATGAAGGAAACAAGTGTATGGAGTATTCTTGAAATAACAAAGACTTATTGCTCACTGTATAATCCTATGTTCCCCCAGCTCCTGGACATCATGCAGTGAAGTGGAACCCTTAACAAGTATAGGCCAAGAGACTGTGAATGGAGTGACATGAGGCACTGAAGGATTACTGCACATCTTTCCAGCCATTTCATCACCACAATGGTGTCTGTGTACATCTCATGTTTCAGGTGAAACAATATGTGAGGAATCTTCTCAGCTTGATTTCTTCAGTGATCACATGAAATATCCTCAAGTCCCAGGCAACTTTGGACAGATAACATGAATGAGCAATATATCTGTGTTGTGCTAAGCCATTGAAGCCATCTCAGGCTGCCGTAATAAAATACCATTGACTGGGTTTCTTAGCAATACACAATGTGTCATAGTGTCTGGTAAGAGTTCTCTTTTTGTTAGTGTTTTTATTTGCTTGTTTGTTCCAGACAGCCTAGATCTCTCCATGTAGCTCATTGTGGCTTCAGCTCCTGCCTCAACCTCTTGATTGCTGGAGGGGATGTCCTCTTGATAAATTAGACAGTTGTCTTTTCACTACATGTTCACATGGTCCAATCTGATATGCTTCTGGAGATTAACTAAGGGCTTCCTCTATAATGATAGGCATATACTCTACCACTGAGCAACATTCTAAGCCCCCCTTGTCATCACATTGTGTCTTTACTGTTCCATCTTTGAGAATATTGTCTTAGTTCTTTTTCTATTGCTATGAAGAGACACCATGACCAGGGCAACTTATATAAGAAGAGTTTGTTGCTTTACAGTATCAGAGAGTGAGTCCATGCCCATCGTGGCATGGGAAATGGCAGCAGGCAAGCAGGCACAGTGCTGGAGCTGAGAGCTTACATGTTGAGATAACAACCATGAGGCACAGAGAGCCAAGAATGGCATGGGCTTTTGAGCTCACTCCAACAAAGCCACACCTCTCAATCCTTCCCAAACAGTTCCACCAGCAGTGGACCAGTGGCCCTATGGGGGCCATTCTCATATTCTCATTCCAACCACCAAAATATATAAAGTATAAAATCTTTTAAGATATTTATTTGGGGTGTGTGTGTATGTGTGTGTGTGTGTGTGTGTGTGTGTGTGTGTGTGTGTGTGTGTGTGTATACATGTCACACTGGGCATGTAGAGGACTGAGGATAACCTGGTAATAGGGTATAGGTCTTTGCCTTCTATCTTGTTTGGAACACAGTCTCTCCTATTATCTACTTCTGGGTAAACCAGACTAGTAGGCCCATGAGCTTTGAGCAATCCCCCTGTCTCTACCTCTCATTTCCTAGAAGGGACTTGCTGAGCTTACAGACACTTCTGCTGCTGCTTCTATATGGGACTCAAACTCAGACTACCAGGCTAGCCCAGGCTTAACCCACTGCATCCTCTCCCCAGGCCTGGAAATATAAATTCTAAGAGATCATTTTCCTTGCCCTCCTTTCCTACCATGCATTTGTGAGACCTCAGCTAGCATGCCAGCCCTTGATACAACCTAGATGTCTGCCTCTCCCATGAGACGCTCATATTCTTCTCTACTTTTATTACTTGTTAGGATGACACAGAAGATATTCATAAAAATGTGGATGAACAAAGTGGCCAGCCCTGTGCACTCGGTGAGTTCTTCCCTGAGCCTCAGAAAGGTGCTGTTTAATTAACAAAAATTAAACAATCTTTTCTAGAGTATCTAAATGAAGTCAAAAGATTCAAATTATAATGCTATCTCTATTCCAATTACCACTGTGGTCTTAGACAGGTCCCCTGACTGTTCTCTAAACTTCAGCTTGCTTGTATTGTTTTTTGTTTGATTGTTAATAAAGATCAAATGTAATCACAAACATGAAAGTGATTTGAAAATGTGCAGAACTTTCTAGAAACACAGGACTCATGAGGTTTCTGTTTTTATCATGCACTGGCTTCTCAAATTGACAGACTTCCTTACGGAGAAAAAGCTGAGTAAATATTGGGAGTATCAGATAAACCTCACTCCAAAGCCAGAAACGAACATGAGCACCCAGCTTAGCACAGGCTTGCTCACTTACCAAAGAGCCATGGGATTCCCACCACCTGCTGCTATTTGGAAAGACACAGGCCCTGCCTTCACGGAGCTTGGTCTCAGTAGAAGCAGATTAGGAAGCAATTCATTGCAATCAGGTTATAAGAGCAAAATGGAAATCTGTGTGTTGGTGGCTGGGCACTGAGGAATACCAGCTCTCTCTGGGAAGAAAGGGCCGCTAGAGAGTTTCGATCCTGTGGTGGGTGTTCTCACACTAGAGAGTTTCACACATGCCTGGCCATAGGTGCTCTCATCAGCTGCACAGGTAAGATCTCCTGTCGTCTCAGAGCTGGAGAGGGACAAAGGTCTCTCAAAGCATTTGAGATTGACTTCAGAGCTCTGGGGTCTAGTTATCATCCAGATGACCAGTCTGCTTCCAACTAGAATCCCTTCTGCACTGGAGACCCCCTGCAGTGCAGGTCAAAGAGATCTATATCTCATTATGCCAGAATCCCAGCCCAATGCAACGGAAATTAAACGCTGTCTACACAGGAGCGATGCAGTGGCATTGCAGACCCTGCCGGCTGAGCAGGACCTAGGGTGACAGAGAGCGGAAATTGCTTCCCTGTGATGAGAGCCCAACAAAGCAAGTGCACCCCGACACTCAGCTGCATGGCAGACAGAGAGTCTGCCCTTCTAATCTCAAGGGCTGGGGTCCTCTATGGATCTTTGGGGTCCTTTGAGCCACAGAGCTTAGTTCAGGCTGCTAAATCTGTGGGGCACATTCACCCACTTTGTTCTGAACAACAAATCCTAAGGAAGATATGACACTGAGCATTTCACTGCCCTGGGGCTCCAGAGCATTTTGAAGCAAACAGTTAGGGCATTTTTAGTAACCTGTAGACAGAAAACATTGATGCTAATTCTATTTTTTCTACTTTGCCTAGCACACTAAGTCAGTCTCCCTCTCCCCGTCCCCTCTCCTCTCTTCTCCCTCTTCTTTCCTCTCCTCTTTTCTCTCTTCTTTTTCTTTCCTCTCTTTTCTATTCCCCTCACTCCTCCTCTGTCTCTTACTCTTTCTTTTCTACCTCCCCCATCCCAAAATGTATGGGGAAGCTGGAGAAAATGCTGGGAGAAAGCCACTGGTGAGTGCATACCCAGATACACCTTTGATAACGAAGTCAGTTTTTTCAATTACTTTCACTTGTTTCTCCCCCTACCCCTTTCTACATGTAACTATAGAAATTCACGGAAGATATCACTTGGAGAGAGATGAGGAACAATTCTATAAATGAAGGATAATATATCTTCGTGAGTCCCGAGCTCTGCTTCCTGCTCTAGTCGCACTAGCCACTGGCTCACCAGAGCATGAGTGGTGTTTGTGGCTCAGAATAGAAGAGGCCATGTCACCACCTTAGAGCCCTGTGCCTATGAGACAAGAGAGGGATGTCAGGAGGTGGAGCAACAGTTGCAATGTCTATGAAACATCCAAAGAGGCAACTGCCCCGTACTCAGGGACATTTGAGACGTGAATACACAGTCTCTCCAGTCTCGTCCACAGTGAGAAGATGACTCAGGCAGGAAGCAACCTTGCCACAGAAGTAACCTCACAGACTTCAGATTACAGGGCCCATGCTTCTGAATACTGTTGTTGAAGGGACACACTTTGCTACATAGCACACCCAAGGACACAGGGCATGGAGGGCCTAAAGTTACAACATAAACGTGGTACTTTTTCCCCTGTCAGATCTACTGGATGACAACTGATTCAAAGGTGTTATTTGGTGGCTGGAGAGACGGCTCAATGGTGAGGAGCACATACTGCTCTTGCAGAGGACCCCAGTTTAGTTTCTAGCACCCACGTTTGAGGGCTTACAAACACCCTCAAATTCCTCCAGTTCCTGTGGAATTAGATGACTCTGGCCTCTAAGGGCACCTGTACTCATGTGCGCGCGCGCGCGCGCGCGCGCACACACACACACACACACACACACACACACACACATACACACACACACACCACTAACATAATTAAAAAAAAAAATTAAACAAAATATTTAAAAATATGTTGTGGTTTTTGTGTGTATGTTTGTGTATGTCCACGTGTAGGTTTATGTATGTGTCCCTATGTGCTTGAGAAATCTTACAACAATCCTCCAGGTTAAAGGGGAATTGTATCTGTATCTGTATGTGGCAACTTCATAATCTATTCCAGGCTATCACTTAGAGTATTACACTAATGAGTTTGAGACATTCTTTCTCCCAGAAATTCCTACTTCATTCAGATCTGAGACTGGGTATAAAGATTTGACCTTTTCCAAAGATTCAGTGGGATCATCTCTTAGCCTTTTTCTCAAGTCAGATGTAAGTAAGGTCACTGGGATCCAAAGCCTGTCCCTCCCAGATGCAGAATGATAGTTCAATACCTTTGGAGAGCTAAGGCTCTGTTTCCCTGCCTGAAATGCCCCAGAAAACTCTTCAGAATCCCAGCAACAATTTCTGGTCCAAGGACTGAGTTCTGAGAAGATGTAATTGCCTCTAAATGGAAATGTCATCTGCTAGATGGGGGAAACCCAACCATTTTCATTTGAAGGGGTCAGCGTACAGCCAAGAAGAGAATCAATCAATATTCATTTTCTTTCTACTGAAAAGAGACGACAAAGGATGTTGTCCAACAGGGCAGCCTTTCAACTTGAGCAACACTAATTGATGGGATGTTTGGCAGATAGACTTGATTTCCCATACCTGACTCCCTCCCCATGCCCTCTCTTGTCCTTCTTACCCCCCCCCACACACACACACACATTTGAAAGGCAGCTAGAAGCCCTTCCTGGACAGATGTCCAGTAGCTCCCAATGCTAACTGAGGCTGAGTTGAGGGTTCTAAATCTAGGGGGTGAGTCCTTTAGGACTAAGTTTTCTACCATCTAATAGTGGGGAGACAAGGTCTCATGCCCAGCCCTGGCCCCTTTGTTCAGAGAAAAGATGAACTAGAGTGTACCATTCTACCTTCAATAAAACAACACAAATCAACAACAAAAATGCATAAAACCAAGTGGGAACCTGGGAGGCCAAGTCTAACTGTCATGAGCCAAAGCAGAGCAGAAAGACCAGGAAAATTCTGGGGACATGAGTGGGATGAGCCCTCCACCCTAGAGTCCAATTGAAGCCTCTCTAACTGGGAGCTGGCATGATGGCACACATTAGTGCTTGGCACTGAGGTTCCCTACATAAAAATAATATTCTTTATATTTATAGTATTTCATTTTAAAATACCAGTGAGCCAAGCTAAAGGCCTGTATGCATGTGACACTGGGTAGGGCTCTGTTCCTCTCTCAGACCTTTCCTTGAATCTCAAAGATGCTTGCTTTGTGTACAGTAAAGAAATCCCATCTTTCTACATCCCTGTAATCTAGAGTTTTACCGTATTCTTACAATTACCTCTAGATAGGAGGCAATATAATGAGATAATATTGCCTGCAATCCTTTCAGGGGCCTCCTATGGACTGCCAGTGATCACATTTAGGTTTCTGAGCAAGCCTTTGAAGATAGTAATTTTAAATCCCACAAAAGTATTTTATATAACTTGTAAAAACAGTGAGCTGCAAGTCTTCTTCTGGAAGCCCATACCCATGCTCTCTGGTCTGTCCTGGTTTTCCTCAGCACTTGTCTTTCTCATAACCCTTGTTCTTAAAGTCTACACTAATATGAGACCCAAAGTCTGCTTTCTATTAGTTAGTTTTGAAATTATTTTCTGTGTTGAAGCCACTAATCTTGGCTTGCCCTGAGTCCCCTCACAGGTTAGGGTGACAGCTGAGGCGGTTGTCACCGCAGGGAACTGTGCCTCCTAATTCTTGGTTTCTGGCCAGAGCCTGGACATGCTTTCCCTGATACTTTGGGCTTTCTCACTTTTATTCTGCAGGTATCCATTTGCTTTGGTTGTGTGGATGCTTATAAATGGCATGGT